ATTTATTTGGGTGCCATGATGACTGTCACATGATGCAACATCAACTTCAAATCAAAAATCTGGGTGTAGGCACTCGGCAGGTTTGTCTCTATCCCTCAGTAGTTTCTTTTTACTTGTTGTTCAGTGAAGAATGACTGTTTGTTGTAAACGTCTGGTGATTAATCTCCATGAGATTTATATTTTGTTTTAAACTAAGTCAATTTTGTAGCGGCTGAACATTATGGAACTCCAGACATATTTCAGAGTTGTTATCATCTGTTGGCTGCAGAGACTGGACAGCCAAAAAAACTTAAATTACACAGATTGAGGTGATTATTTTAAAAGGTTAACTTTATTAAAACAAGAACAACAAAAAAAACATCACCTAAAACAGGAGCAACAGATTTGACCCCTTTGTGCTAGTGAAAACAGATGCTTGAGCAAACCTCATTATGCAGCAATATGTAATTGTTTATCACCTTCTGCCTCAGAAAATCACTTCCATAAACACCTATCTATACATTAATAATGAACAGAGGACACAAACTGTACTTCATTTAAAGATTTGCCACAAGAGCAGTGCTGATTTGCTTCACCTTAGTTTGTGTAATACTGGTCCAAGATACACCAACTCAGCAATTTAGTTAAGTCTGGATGCATCTTCCCTTTTCTGTGACTCACTAGACACACAAACGCACATTTATCTCCATTGGGACCAAGTGATGCTCATTACAGACTTAATGAAAACTTCTTTGAGGTAGCAACACAAGTTCATTATGTTAAACTCTTTTGGTAATTTTCAAATGAAATTATGTTCTATTTCTGTCTGTGGCTGCCTGCATGTTTATGTCAAAACTGGAGCAGGTGTTATGCATTAAAGACCTGATTTAGGGGCTTGAATTAACACATGCACACAATAAATGCATCACACACACATTTCTGTACACACTAGATGCACACACAAACACACACGCACAGATGTTTGCAGATGATTTATTACCCACCTTCCACCACTCCTCATTAGAGTCATCAGTGACCTGCACCCGATCACCGGGACTAGAGGAGATAAGATAAGAGAGAGGATGAAAAAGAAGATGTGAAAGATGTGATTGAGATGAAGAGGCAGAGGGGAGACAAGAGCGGGATACATGATGGGAGATGAAGGGGGTGAGAGAGCATAGGCAGCAAGCAAGAAAAATAAAAAAGGAGCTCACTGTAAGCACAAAAGACAACATTATCAAACTGCCACAGAAAAATGCACAAAGCACAAAGCTGTGAATCACTGTGTGTCCCTCTGCAGAGGCAACAGAGCAGCCCAAACACCAAAGTTATGAGGGCTACATATTATAAGACTCAGTAGTGCCTACTGCAGTGCTGAAGGCTGGACCTGATCTGCAGCCAACCTGGCCTGAATGCTAATGACGCTACCAGTTTATGATGAGACTTTGCTACACATATACACAGTGTACGCACTGTCCTAGATACACAGGAAAAAAGCGATGTCCCAGTTGCACTTCTGTACATTGCATCTCCTGGGTGCGTATTGCCCTATATGTCTGTCATTCACAAACACACACATAAAGTTACTGTACCAACTAGGGTAAGAATCACATGTCTTGAGCAGCACTGACGCAATAACTGTACTCACTGGGGTTTCTCCCAGGGGCACAGCTTTAAATGCCACATATTTCTTTAATGTCTCAGTTCCATCAAGTGTCCCAGTAATTTGTGCTTTTTAATGACCAGCTACACCTGTGCTTTTGTTGTAGCAGTGTACGTACTTTTTTTGTTCCACTGTGCCAACTTTAATATAGGGCAAACGTTGTGAGCTGCATTGCAAGTGATTTTCAACACAGCATTAGAAACTTGGTGGCCTTTGTTACCAGCATAGCTCAGTTCAATCTGCCTGAGTAACTGTAGTATCTGTGTGGGTGTGCAGAAATTTCAAATCCAAACAACCTCAGTAGAGATTTTTTTTCTGTAAAGCCCTTACTGCTACATAAGAAACAAATTATAATTAACATTTTTTTCAAATGAAAATTGTTAAGATACTCTGTATCAGTACACACTACTGTCCGTTCTCGACTTCGGTCCAAGTTTATGTCTCCTGCACTCCATCAAACCCTGACAGCAGCACAGTCACAATATATTTTAATTAGTTCACATGTATTCTACATTGACACAAACAGTGCCACACAGCACAGATGGCTGTTGACAGTCCCATGGAAGTACCTTCGTGAAAGCTGTCCCCTAACCACCCACACTCTGCCCTCATTTTACTGCTCTGTCCTTTCTTTCTGCTCTTTTCTTGCCCTCCTTCATCTTATAGAGCCTTTACATTTATTTGCACTTTGATTTCACTGCCTGTTTCCTCCATCCTCGCTCTCTCTCTCTCTCTCTCTCTCTCTCTCTGCTTATGATCCTATGATAATCTTCAGCTCTGTGGCATCCCGCCTTTTTTCTGTCTGCCCTTTCATCTCTCGGTCTTTCATTGTCTTTATACTTTCCCCTGCTGAGAATACTGCTCAGTTCCTAGCTCTATGTGGGGACAGAGATGGGGTCTGAGTTTATAATTATTCATCCTTAAGGCTGCCCAACTACTGTCCTGTGCAGATGGTGGGGACATTTTCATCCTGCAGGAAAAAACAGCAGGGCCAAATCACAGGGAGGGACAAAAACACAGGGAGGGATAAATGTGCTCATGCACACAACAGCAAAAACACAAGCGCTCCTGCCTGTACACACACACACACACACATGGATATGGCAATGTTTGCATGTAGACAGTTTGTTTGGCCTTTACTCACTGGAGTTGCAGGTCATTCGGTTCCTGAGGCAGAAACTTGTAGAGTGCTACATAGGTGTGGATGGAATGGACTTCAATGCGTTTGGGCACCTGGAAGCAGGGAGGAGAGGTCAGAAATACACACTCAAGGAGGAAAACAACAAGGGGTGACAGTCTGCACAGGTGGGATGAACAGAACGGCACCTTCATGCTGCTCTCCTCTGCAGGTGACTGTGCTTGACTGCAGCTCTCATCTTCCTCCTTCTTGATTTCAGTGTCAGGGGCAGGGATGTCTAGAAGTAGTGAGCAACGTCTTTTAGATGATGCCAGCACGCCTGGCACAAAAATACTCACGCATAATGCAATCAGGTAGTTTTTTTATTTTTCACAAGCAGACACAGTAAATCTCTCTTGCACACAGACAGACATGCACAGGTAAACATAGCATATGCATAGACACACATAGGCATGGACATACAAAACCACAAACATGGAGACGCAGACATACAGCAGTGTTTACCCCCTATCTCCTGAGTTATCTCCTCCTCCATGCTGCACTGTCTCTGCTGCTTCTCATCACCTCCCTCCCCCTTATTAAAGAATGAAATAGAGAAGAGCAAAAAAAAAAAACTAAATATAAGCACTAGGATGTCAAAGAGGAGCATTTTGGTGAGTAAAACTTTTTCTGCTCTGGATTATTCAAAATGCACACCACAAAGATCAGCAGTTCTCAGTGCATGCATGCCCTGTATTCTGTTAGTTTGTGTATAAAATGTTTTGGGGGTTCAATCACATGTTTAACAAAGAGAACACATTGTCTATTATGCTCCTCACAGATGATACCCTGGTGATCAACTGTAAAACTTGAATATATGCAAAGGTGGGTTTAAGCAGGGGACTAGCATGACCTCAAAGGAAAGAAAACTTTAGATAAGTTTTAAAGAGTAACTCATCACTTGAAAGTCTTGTATTTGCCAACTCATGTGATTTAACGTTTCACCTTGTTGCAGTGATGTATCAGAACACTGTGGCATCACTGATGGGTTTGGTTTAAGGTGCAATAAAACACACTTTTGACCATGCACAAACACCAGTTTGTGATGCTGGGTGGGTTCGGAGGTAACACAGACCAGAAACCTTCAACCAGAGAAGGCAGTCAAACATTACATCTTGTTTTGAACATCAAATTTAAAGCTAGATGCAAAGTAATGCTTAATGATTTAAAATCACCTTAACTGAGATTCTGTACTGTGGTATCTATAGTAACATATCATCATTAAAACTTGTTTAATCTGTAATCATGTGTAAACTTAATTGCACAGGATCAAACTGTCCTTTACCCCACCCACAGGTTGATGTTATCATACCAGGCTGCGTGTCGGTGACTCTGACAAACTGCCAAAACTGGACCGATTCATCTGTGCCAAGGAGGTCCCGTAGCGTAAGGCAGCATACACCGGGTCTACACGCGCCCGTACAGCCTCTGAAACCACACACACACTTATTGTATCTTCACTTTAGTTACAAACACACGTAAATTATTCCCACTCCACACACTGCAATTACGACTGCACACTGAGATTACACTGTACATCATTATTATTGTGCCTGTACCAATGTGGAGGAACCAGAGTGTCTAAATATAACTGCAGTAGCACAGTCGGTCTTGAACCAAAGTGACCTACTTTAAATCTGAGAGAGGACAGCAGCCAAACATGAAGGAGACATTAAGACATCCCAATAAACCTACATGTTTTCACTCATTTATACATTTACTTATTGACAAGAGATGCGGCTTGGTTTTAATAGCCGTGACGTGCAAATCCTCAGAAATCCTTCATTGTTATATGTTGTGTAGATGGTGCTTGGTGCTATCAGTGTATTTCTCAAGTTAGGAATTAGATTTCCTTTTTCGATCCAGCTCAACATGAGTCAAATGGAGGGTAGAATGATTTTTCTGCTGGGCAAGATATGCTACGGGTGTGTGTGTGTGTGTGTGTGTGTGTGTGTGTGTGTGTCTGCAGGATGAGCTTGCAATGATTTGCAATTTCATATTGAAACCACTGCTTCCATACTCTCCTCAGATAGATGAAAAATTAAACCAGAATCCTAAAAACAGAAATTATGCAATGTCATTAACACAACTAGTCTAAATATTTAAAGGTATTAAAGCTCATTCTTGTTTTTAAATTGACTGTCACAGTTTAAGAGAAGGGGGCAATATATTTCTGCAAAAAGCAATTACAGTCATGGCCAAAAGTCTAGGCACCCCTGCGTTTCTGTCAGATAAACGCACCACTTCTCCCAGAAAATTGTTGCAATCACAAATTGTTTGGTAATCTCATGTTGATTTCTTTTGTTTGTATTGGAACAACACAAAAAAGCAGAAAGAGAACAAATAAAAGCCAAATCTGATCCATTCCACACAAAACTCCAAAAATGGACTGGACAAAATTATTGACACCCTCAACTTAATATTAGGTAGCACACCCTTTGGACAAAATAACTGAACTCAGTCGCTTCCTGTAACCATCAGGGAGTTTCTTCTACCTCTCTACTGAAGTTTTGGACCACTCTTGTTTTGCCAACTGCTCCAAATCTCTCAGATTTGAAGAGTTACTTCTCCTAACTGCTGTTTTGAGATCTCTCCGCAGGTACTCTATGGGGTTTAGATCTGGCTTTTTGAAGCCTGCTTTGGGTCATTGTCCTGCTGTAAGACCCATGACCCCTGACAAAGACTCAACGTTTTGACACTGGCCTTACAATGTGCCCCAGAATTCATTGGTAGTCTTCACATTTCATAATGCCATCCACACAGTCAAGACATCCAGTGGATGAAGCAGCAAAGCGACCCCAAAACATCAGTGAACCTCCAGCATGTTTGACTGTAGGGACCATGTACTTTTCTTTGAAGGCCTCACCATTTTCTGAAAACGGTAGAATGATGTGCTCGACCAAAAAGCTCTATTTTAGTCTTATCTGTCCACAGGACGTTCTCCCTGTGCCTGCAGGTCACCTTGAATTTGTTTGGAAGTTGATCGAGGTTCTTTATCCACCATTGGAACAATCCATCATCTATTTTTCTCTTTCGTCCACGTCCAGGAAGATTAGCTCCAGCACCATGGGCAGTAATCTTCTTGACCATGTTGCACACAGTGGACACAGGACCAGCCAGATCTCTGTAGACGGACTTGTAGCCTTGAGATTGTCCAGGCTTTTCCACTATTGTGGTTTTCACATCCTCAGACAATCCTTTGCGCTTCTTTCTTTTCTCCATTCTCAAGGTGGTCCACACAACACAAAGGTTGAGTCAATGTTTCTCCATTTTAACTGGTTGTTAGTGTGATTTCTATGTTTCCAGCACCTGTTGGTTGCTACAGGTGAGTTTCACCACAAATTAAAGGAGCATCACCTGCTTGAAATACAACTATTTCTGAATATTTCAAAAAGCTATATGTGATACGACTTCACCTTGTTTAAACCACCACCTCTTGTAACCTGAGCTACTTTCGACACACGAGGACAAACACAGTCTTACAAGGTCTGATATTTCAGCCCTAACAGCAGTATTCAAGCAGGATACTCTTGTCCCTCATTAACTTAAACTTTAACCTAACACAGCTGTTGCTCTTGTCTGAATTGAGAACAAATCCTCGTATACACCATTTCATTTTGGAAAGCAATCAGGTTTTAATTGTCACTGCAAGATTGCAGCTTAGGCCTTTAACGGTTTCACATGCCACTGCTGCAGCTAGTCGACTCTCACCCTTATAAATCAAGTTCAATATCTGACAATAAACTGCTTTCCCCCAGTTAACGGGAAATTACAGGCTCTGTAAGTAAATCCATCATAAAAATTGCCATTTAATATTAATGTGCATAAATTTGAGCTCGCTTTTTTACCAAGCCTTTGGTTAGCATTGTTATAATAGCACTTTGCAGTCTCAGCTGGAGAGTCGCAGACATCATGAAGCTAAGCTTGGGCTGGTGATGAAGCTGTGGGTTAATTGTCCCCTGATTTATGGATAGTACAAGGAAGTGACAGCATTAGGTGCTAACCCTAATTCAGCCTGGCACACAGTATGTGACATGATATTCCAGAGCTATGGCAAAGAACAACCATCTCCCATTTAGAGGAAGAGCAAATTCAGCAACATTTAGGAAAACGGATCTAAAAATAGTGATTGTACCAGTGTGTTTTAGCAGTCAGTGCCTTTTGAACTGCCTGCATTGTCTGTCAAAGCTGTGCGAGAATGGAATTCTGTACCATCGAGTATTAAAATATGGGCACATTCAGTTTATTTTGAGTGTATTTAAAAAGACAGTTAATTAGCACTAAACATCCATCCCAAAAAAAGTGATAAGGAAATGTTGGAAATGTTAGAATTATGATGTCTTTTTACCATAAATGTGTAACACTGAGTAAATTAATATTCAAAATAATAGTTTTTTGGCCATTTTATTAAATATAGATGAATGTTATGGAACAACGAGCTGGTTAGGAGAAAATAGTAATTCAGTGTTTATGAAACTTTAAACAAGCGAGCTGTAGTGCCAGGCAATAAATTAATACACTGTCAGTCCAAGGATTACAATACGACTCATAAACAGATATAAAAATATAAACACTAGGACTTCTAAATATTTATTCACATACTTTCAGGGTGCTGACCATACATCAGCCTCCAAGAGGAGCTGAATTTGCTCTTCGTCTTTGTTTATCTTTGTCTACATCATTCTCCACAATTGTCGGGTGAAATGGAGACAGTTCTTTGACTACAGTTACAGGCACAAGCACACACAAATCTAAAACTAATCCAAAAGGCTAGACAAGAGCAACATGACAAAACAAAAGCACAAAGACACCAAGCAACCAATGCACACGTGTGCTCAGTCACTCACACACACACACAGACACTTAAAGTAGCCTCACCTTGACTTGGATGAACTTCCTTGACGACAGCCAATTGGTCACTGACGAGTATCGGCGAGCTGAAGTTTCGCTTGAAAGCTCCAGACTAATGGAGAAGAGCGTTAGGCACTATTTTAATTTTTTGTTTACATTTCTTCCTGTTTATTACAGACTGAGCTGATGAGAAATTTGCCCCATTTAGTGAGTTTAGCTCATCAGTGTACTCATTTGAAAACTACTGAATCAGAAACACACCAAGACACTCCCGCAGATATGTGAGCACACAGAGCGCTGCACAATTTGCAGCAAATTTCTGCCATCAAGTCACAAACTGGAACAAAGTGTTAGTGCTCTTTGCTGCTAATTATGAACAATGAATTCACTCAGCCACCTCCTGGTGAGCACATGGCTTACACACAGGCACGGACATGTGATTTTGTATGTGTGTGTCTGTATGCATGTGGGTCCCCATGATTTCAATTTCACACCGAATTAAGCACAGCAAGTGTTTCAGCTGAGTTCATTTTGCATTTTTGGAACTGTAAAGACAGTTTAAACCTGATGGTGTTCATCCAGACATCACTGGGTCCAGACTACTCTGTGCCAACCTACGTCATGCCCTTGGGATGCCATACCCAAACAAGAATGTATGGATAGGCGCGAAGGACAGCACACACAGCCAGACAGACCGAGTCTCTCTCCCATCATCTGAGCCTCTGCTCAGCATCACCCTGGGCATTCAGAGGATTAGTCCCAGCCAGGGACCCAGTGACGCCCCTCCCCCCTTCACCACACTCACCAGTCTAGCAGCCAGTTAAGGCTGCCACGCTGAAACTGAGTCAGCTTGATGAACTATTAAAAGCAATAGCCACAGACATCAGGTGTCTACCAGAGATGAGACAGATGCCCATGCCACTTCCTTCAACATACTGGTGATGTTAAACAGCCGGTGGCAGGGACCGGTCAGCCAGTGGTGTCTTGAGTTCAAAGTAAACATGGTGAAAATATGGCTTTTAGCCAATATGCTGCCCACTGCTTTTAATTAATGTCTCTTTTACTTATTCTATAAATTCTGAGTTAAACTTGTCTGAGCTGTTATCAAACTTGTTTACATTTTATTTTACACTCTCTTATACCTTTTATTTTTCTTCTATGCTTTTAATGTTTTTATGTATGGATGCATTATGCAAAGCACTATTAATTGACTTTGTGTATGAAAATGTGGTGCACAAATAACCTTGCCTTGTCATATTATGTTAAAGAAACAACCATTCTGTGGATAGGCTGTATCTTTTCCTCCTGTAAAGGTGCCCAGTTTCTGGTCTGATGTTTTTGCTTTTCCCCTGTACCTCTCCCTGTGTTTCTGTGTCCCTTCATCAAATTGCACTGAGCCTTCTTGAACATAGTGCTCTTAAAATTTTACAAGTGGCTCTCAGAAGGTCTTGCCTCTTGCTGCATGCTAATGTCTTCTGCACTGGACTGAAGTATAAACACAGAAGTTAGGTCTGAATTTGCTCCAGATTTGCTCCCTAATGCACCACAGTCACCTTCACTGTCATTCAACAAGTGTCCAAATTCAGAATGCACATATTCCCACAATGTAGTGTCTGTTTACCATTGCATTGTTTTTGCTACAAAGTCCACAATACACAATCTTTACCTTTGGTCTCTAGGTGTCAGAAATCTCGACTTTTGGTAATTGTTAAAGCTTTAGCATAGACCTCCCTAGTTAGCATTTAATAGTAGTATAAACATTTATTAAAGGCTTCACAACACACACTTGTCAACATTTTTAACTCCACCTATGAAGCATCCATAAAAAACAAATAATGAATGATAAAAATTGTTGTAATTATATAAAATATATCTTCATTGGATTAGTAATAATTGCAGAAAGTATTAAACACACATTAAACACTGAAAATATTCTTATACTTGTATCTGCCTATAATGTATTATAAACAATTTATGTTTATGCTAAGAAACATAAATTGTTAAAGTAACAAGCAGGTTAAAATGAAGTGTTACCCAGTTTTTGTTTTGGGAAAAGTGAAAACATCAACTATAAAGTGATTGATTTTAAACAAAGCCAAAACTCAGGCTGGATTAGAAATGTGAAATGTTTTTGGTCTTTTTGGCGCCAAAAGAATTGTGATGTAATAAATGGCTTTGTCTCAGCCACATCAGCACATCTTTACTGAAAACCTTGCCTGTCAGCACTTTACCCTAAACTGCACATATGGCTAAAATGTTGAATAAGACCGACTCTGCTCGCTGGTCACAAGTATTCTAGTGTTGGTGTGTCAGTGTTAAAAATGTTTTCATGTACTAACTACATGACATGCTACTGTCTTGGTGATTCAACATTTTTAACTGCTGAAATTCTGTGCTCAGCTGTTTAAATATTTCTTCTCAACATTTTTTTTTTAACCTTAAAACTGACTGTTCCACTAAATATACCAAATGAATTTCTAAAGGGCAACACACACTGGCGGCTTTGTGTCATGTGCATCACATAACCTGTATCACGTGTGTGTGTGTGTGTGTGTTATAAATTATGATTGCAATTCAAACTGTTGCTGTTACTGATGTTTTTATAATGTGTTTATTATAAACATCTGCAGAAAATCAAAGACAATCAACGAAATGGGACGGCAGACTGGACTGAGGGGGACATATTTGTGCTTATAACAGACCTGGAAGTATTCATAGGTTTTCTTAGTCTCAAAACGCTAGCTTTGCATATTTTGATTCTCTTTAACATGCAAAATGATAATGCTTCCTCTTTAGTTATGTTATCATGTGGTTTCATGGTGTTCATTACTATTATAAGAACTTTTTGCAACAAATTAAGTTGTTCCCTGTAGCCTTCAGTTCACTTAAAATCAAACCGTTCTAACCACCAAATAAGCATTTTGGGAAACATAGCAGGTGGTTAGCCTAGCTTAGCACAAAAACTGTACATGGGAAAACAGCTAACCTGGCTCTGTTCAAAGGTAACAAAAAGTACTTCAAAAGCTCATTTATTAGCACCTTATATCTTGTTTGTTTAATCTGTCAGTTTGTTTTATCAAGGGCTATTGGCTAACTATTTCTTGGCTGGACACATTTGCCACATTTACAGTACTAAACTCAGGCTTCTGCCAAATATATATCAACAACATAAACAGAATTGTTAGACTATCATACTTCTCCAATAACTATGTAACTGAAGGAACCCATTTAATCACTGATTTTATGTTTCACCTTTTGTAGGCAAAGTGTTTCTTTATTTTAATCGTCATTTTATTTGTATAGTTACTTCCCATTATAAATGAATCTTGAACTCAGTTTCAAATTGAAACTTTATTTAACTGAAGATTTCATTACACCCAGCAGAGACTACTGAAGTGAAGTGACTATTAGTTCTGCCCCTAAAATACCTAATGGCCTTTTTTTTTTTTACAATTTGGGTTTTGTATGGCTTGAACAAATAAAAAATAATGTGGTAATTAATGAGTTTTAGAACTAGAAATTGCCTAGATGTTTCCTCGTTTTCCGTCTTTGGGCTAAGCTAAGTCTTCTGGCTGTTCCTTTTAGGTGTATTTCTTCTTTTCTAAAACAACAGAATATTTTCCAGAGATGCAAGTTTGAAAATACAGAAGAAAACATTAGTAGCTATAGGTACCATTGCTGGTCAAAGACAGACTCACATACACAAACAGGCAATCTAAACTAAATCCCTCACATTAACGCCCACACAGCCTAAAGTGAAATGCAGTGCAGAAACACCACAGCAGCGTCTGCTTAGCACTAATGATGTTGCCAAATTTAAAAAATAAAACTGTCACTTCACATATCAGAAAAAAAAGTTGAGTAGACCAAGACAAGAGAAGGTACAAATCTTATATATATATATATATGTATAAGATCAACATGAAATGTGATTTTGTGTATGTGCTCGCACCTTCCCATGACACAGCTGCTGTGATAATTCTGAGGTACACCACAGGTGAGCTGCCATCTTGCACGTTTTACACCGCAGAGCTTGTTTGGAGTTTCCTGCAGAGAGAGACAGAGATGGGACAATGGGAACAGAGGATGCTGGAGGCAGTCACAAAAAAAAGAAAACACAGCAGGGTCCAGATCTGCAACAACTAAAAAGTCCTACAAAAGAAAGTGGCCTTCAGATCATTTGAGCATGTTTCTCTCTACTCAGGTGGAGAGTGTAATCAAGTGTTGTCTCAGTTTCATGAAGCTGACACTAACAGCTTCATAATCAACAGCTCCCCTTCCAAAACAGCCCAGAGAGATTGGGAACCAGCTGGAGATATTTCAATCATGATCAATTTGGCATTGAGTCATGTTTGCCTTTTCATCTCTATTTTCAAGTGCTTCACTAATATAAACCTCTGACTACTGAGATGCTTTGTCCTCATTTGTCGGGTAATGAAACAGCCTCTGTTGACTGTTGAATGTTTTTAATGATTAAGGGGTTCAGCCCCTTTTTGTTCAACAAACCACAGATAACAGATTTCTGGATTTGCCATAGTTTTAGATTACATCAACAGATTTGTTATGAAGCAAAAATAACAATCAAACAAACTGGATGGCTTGATGAAAACTACTTTGTCAGCTTAACGAGACAGGGGGCTGTGTTTTGGGATTACAGAAGAGTACAGCTAGAGCAAGGTGATGCATTGTATAGTATAACTAAATCCACAATGCATGCAAAAAAACTGCACTGGCACAAACACAGAGGAGCTGGATAGTTTCTGTAATCAATCATGAAAAACGAGCAACAGCTAGTAGTTCGTTAGGGGTAAAAGGACTTGTATATCTGCAGCACAGTTTATTTACAGCTATAAACACTGTGAGATCAGCACTGAAGTCATACAGTTCAGTTCTGAATCTCATTTTCCTTGAATGGAGTGCGAAAAAGAAAAATCTGCCACTGAGAAAATGTTTTTTTCTTCCAAAAGTGTGGCTCGCTCTGACACATCATCAGCTGCACTCATTTGTTGATGGCTGTGGCCTTGTTTTTGACAGATAGATGAGAGTGGTAGATGTAAATCAAGTTGTAGTGATACACTTCTCCCTACACAACAGTTTTAAATAGCTGTAGAACAACCGGTGATGTTCTCTCCATAAAAGGGTCTCCAGTTTGCACTAGATGAGAAGCCATGTAAACAAAGACAGAGGCCAGAAATCCTGTGAAAACTGCAGCTAAACTTGGGTTTGAATAAAGCAGAGTCCAGAGAGTAGACGGAGCACCTTACCCACTATCATATGCTTGCAGTGCTGGCAGTTGGTGGGCTTGCGAAAGACGTGGTCCTGGAAACAGTGGTTAATCTGAGGTCGAGGAGGTTTGGTGGGCAGTGAAGGGGAAAGGCTGAGAGAGGGGGAGTGTGAGGCGATGGAGGGGTTGGGGCTGAGAGAAGGTGAAATCGATGGTGAGCGGTCGCTGACGACAGGAGAGCCAGGCAGAAGAGGGGGAGAAGGAGGTGGTGGGTCTGAGATGAAATCCGGGGGCAGGCGAGCATCACTGTAGGACCTTTGGAAGAAGTTCTCCACACTCTTACTGCGCATGAGGTTCTTGAAGGACAAGGAGCGTTTTAGCCTCTGTAGCTGCACGCACACACACAGTGACAGAGACAAAGAGAAAGCAGGTAGGCTAGGAACAAACACAAGATATACAAGAATCCTGTGCCACGTTTAACTCGTGGAATACAATATCAACCCAAAGCTACTTGTATACTCCAAGAGACCAAGCATTTCCTTCACACAGCCACAACACAAATGCTTGTACTTAGTACATTGAAAAGTTTTCAGTTTGTTCAGAAAGTTCTACACCCTCTCCCAAGGAGTGCTGTCTTTTTTTGTCTTAGAATTCCAACAAGCTCTCCTAAATCTATGAATCTTTAGGGATGCTTTTACATTTGGCCCATGATAAGCCTTTTCTCTTGGAGGACACCCATGGCCATACATTGAAGACTGCTGTGTGTATTGGCAGCAGGAAGTCTATTGTGATGAAATGCAATGAGACAGTTCACACAGCCTCATGTAGGCGGCTCCTCGCTGCTCTTAATCTGATGGAGAATGATGGATGCTCATTAGACTGACAGATGACACTGCAGGCTTGTACGAAGCATAAAGGGCCAGTGGATCCCTCTTCACAGGGCCAAACTCACATGTCTACAACTTGCTAGCATACAGTATGTACCCTCTCTCATTGACATAAACAGCTGTGCTTGTATCTTTCATGACCAAACCGCTATAAATGATTGATGGTTGCTGCATTTCAAAAGCCCAACGTGCAGCCAACAAAACATGACATCGGTGGCTGACGCATCCGATTGGTTAGATAAGTGCACATTTCCTGACATTTCCCTTTAGCTCTATGTATGGATGATGACGCTAGTTTCCTGGAGGAGAGGCGGCATTTTGTTACCCTGTCATGCAGTGGCAGCGGGGAGAGCAGTGGGAGGGCGTGGCTGTGTCTCAGGGGAAGAATGGATCAACACAGACAGATAATCAGTAGCCCAAAGACACTGTGCATGTGCACACGCTCTGTCTGTCTGCTTGTCTGTGCTTGTTCAGCTCAGCACCAAACGTAATCACTTTACAGGAACATGCTGTTTACAACTCTGCGTAGCTGGGATTAAGCTATAAAAACGGTGTGTCTATTTGTGTTTGTGTGTGTGTGTGAGGGATGCATATTGGTAAAGCAAGAAAAACAACACACTCCATATGTGTCATGTCTATTAGTGAAATTGCCCTTCATCAGACTACACTGATGTCAACAAGCAATAGGGGAAACTAACACAATATGTTGCTATTATAGCTGTGGGTGGTCACAATGGTGTTATTCTCTGTAGACTGCACCTTATAAAGGGTTCACAGGATAAAATAAATACTGTTAGTCTGACTTGTCCTTGACTCTGATGTCCAGTGCTCACTCTCTGGTAGAAGATTCATTGTTCCTCTGTGTCATCTAAACCACTGGCAGCATTCATTACTACTCGGTACCTGCAGATAATGTTTAGTATGTCTTAATGATTCTTGTGCATCTAGATATTTTAGCACAAGTGGGTTGTTTAGTGTGTTGTCTGGATAGTTTCAAAAGGTTTGCACATAGGGTTGCTGTCTAATAGATTGTTTCTGTAATTAGGGCTGATCTACACCAAAATAAGCCCAAGACAAAGTTTTCCAGTAAGGACAATAGAGCATATCAATAGAGCATAAGCTGAGTTCATTCTTGACCCTGGAAGCAGCAGCTAATGAAATAATCTCACCACAGTCAGTGGTAGAAGAAGTGCTCACATTGTTTACACAAGTATAATAATAATACAGTGTAAAACTACTGCATATTTAAGTCTGGTGACCAAAATGTTGTTCTTGTTATTGATTTGTAAAGCATTAACAAATGATTTGTTTACCATTACAACTTAGAAACCAATCATGAATGCCTTGTAAGAGAGTGATAAGCATGTTTTACTAATGGTACAAAGATGCTTTGACATGTTTACACACTTTCTGTGCAGCATTACAGGCCCGAGTCAAGCTTTCTCAATCAGAACAGACGAATGCTGGCTTAACAGATTCAGCACATCTCAGTTACAGCTAATCTAATCAGCTGTCAGCATTTGGGCCTAAAAGGCATTCCCACTTTAGCTCAGAGTCAAGGCCAGTGCGATACCAAGTTTATGACAGATGAAATGCTGAAGTCGATGAAGATGACTCATGGTGAAGTGAGCTTTGCCACTGATGATACAGTGGTTGTGATGCATGATAAAGGCCCATGTACATTACTGATTTGGTGCAGTTCTATGGCAATGTCTGTGAAATGCAAGTTAGTCTTTTCACTTTTCCACAAAATGTACTTCTAACAAGTACTGTAAAGTCTTTCACCTGCAGAAAACTATTTTCCTCCCAAAACAAATATTTCCTCTCGACAAATTATTTATATGATTCACAAATGACTCACAATGCTATACAAAATGCATAACATTGCCCAGATTTACACACACTGTCAGAGCCAATCCTCTTAAAGTTGTCTCAGCTGACATGTAATAGCCCATAATTTTCATATCTTCAATCTATATACCCCACATTTAGGCAACATAAATGTTCAAAATCATTGCTCCACAGAGGGACAGCAGGGATTGAGCAATCATAATTCAATAAAAAAAAAGCTTTTATTTCCACTGAATATACGAGTCTTCCTCCATCTATCAGAATTTAATGGGGCCAGGGACAATGCTGAGATATATAGAGAGAATGCTCCAGCCTGTCCAGAGATCAAGACTGAAAAAAATGCTCTGTCCCACTGGGAATGTGATAAAAAATACGGTACACTGCATGTGGCTATAAAATGCTTTATGGTAAATAATTCACCCAGTAAGGAACAGCTCAAATGGAAGAATCAGCCCAGTAACAGCTTTGTTTTCTTTAGAGGCTGTATAGGTCAGAAAATGCCGTGAAACTTGGTAAAAAAAGGTCTGAGTTGGAGGGTCCGCAACATTCAGTTTGGCATGGTTTAAAACCATGTCGCTTTAAGAAGAGACTGACTGCAGTGGTGTTACTGTCTAAGAGAGATTTTTACTTTTTCACATTTTGTTTATTTCTACTTCTGCCACTGTCAGCAACAGAAGAGAGAGTGCAGCTAAAACTGAAAAAAAAAAACCCATTACACACCTCCACGCTATGGCTTAAAGTACCATCAAAGCTAGTGTTCAACAAAGTTCATGTATGTGACCTATAAATTCATAATTCTGTAGCCTGCATTTTCCATTATAAAATTCTCCCCATCTTCTCACACTCCCTTTAAGGACTTTATAAAAATGGAGCACAGTAAGTGTTTCTTTTCATGGTAGATGTCACAATGCCCGACCTTGTTCTAAGTGCGAATAATTCAGCCTTAAGGATAACACCAGTGGAACTGTGCTGTGAAAGACACTGCTTCCTGGCTCGGTGCAGTTCTAGGTCAAGAACAGAATATGTGGTTTCAGCAGAAATGATCACCCTAAAGAAGCAGATTCATAATGTGTTTAAAGATATAACAGTTTACACCTTCAGTGTGTGTCTTTAACACATAATGCATCATAAAATCTATGGGGGAAAGTATTCAAACAGCTTTAGCTTTTATGTTAGCCAGTTTTATGCCCAAATATTTCCCAGCTTGGCTCAAGTTTGTCATTGGGCACGGCAACCTGGCAGATGACCGCTTTGACTACAAGATAAGAGATGTACAATCACAGGCTGCTTCCATTGTCCTTTCACAAATATATCACAGGCACACAGCAGTCAATCACATGCTTGCTCACAGACACACACACACACACACACTGCATTCCCATATCTCTCCATGATTATTTAATGGAGGAGCAACTGTGAAAAATAGTAGTGTGCATTACAACCACTTTTTACACTGAGTGCAACATTCAGCTAACCTTGCTGTGAAGCTTTGCCCTGGCAACTCATCATCCACTCATTTTCACTCACCCAATCACTGTCATACACAACCCAAAGCACAACACAGAGGCTATCGGTGTCAGACAGAGAAGAATGCCATTTCTGAATGTGCATTGGTGGTGACGAATCTCCCTAACAGATTCCACTCATCAGCAACACATAAGTGGATGACAGCCAGTTTTCTTTTCTGTAGTGTCACATTAATAAACATCACAGCAGCAAAGGTGTTGCTTTAATTAGTGAAGACCTTGGCCCACTTCAGCTTCCCTCAAGCTTCATTTGAAGAGACAATGTAATGATAGTTAATGAGATGTGACATGCTTATCCTACTCTTCATCATTACAGTAAAGAAAGTAAACAGAGGAGGTAAAAAAAAAATCTTTACTAGGTCCACAGTTTGTAGCCATAGAAGGATTGCCATGAAATGTTATACAGGAATTCATGGTCCTCAGGGGATTAATCCTAATGATATTTTCTCTGGCCTTATAGGTGAACATTTATGGTTTTGTGTGAAATGTCTCAATGGTTATTTGATGGATTGCCAAGAAATTTTGTACAACCATTCCTATCCCCCTCAGTATATACTGTGATAACTGTGGTGAAATCCTAAATGTTCTTCTAGTGATATTAACATCTAACATATTAACATGTTAGTGCTAATTAACAAGATAGCATGCTCACATGCTATCCAAAGCTTAGCATGGTAAACATACAGTTTCTGTGAAAAGTCAGCATGCAAGTATTTTCATTTTGAGCATGTTAGCATGCTGATAATAGCATTAAGCTTAGACCACTAAGGTTCCTAAGCACAGACTCACAGTGCCCCTGCAGACAGTATGGACTCTTAGGGCAGAGACACACCAAGTGGACATGAAAGAACTAGCAGTGACATAAGCTGTCTCTTGGTTCACCTTACATTGCCTTTGTCTGGGCCAGTCAGGCCAAAAAAGTGGCACGTGAACACATTGCATAGACTACACCCAATGGCCAACTAGCACGTACATCTGCATGAAAAAAAAGTCCTCTACCAGCAGGTGGCAGTATCTGTATTCGCCATTTAGAAAGAGAAACAGAAAGAAAAAGAGAAACAGCAGAACTACAAGCTGTAGACAAAGCAGCTCTTGTTCATCACAGCTGCTGATTATAGCTGCTTGTAATAGAGAATATGTCTGATAAGAAGTTGCAAATGACATTGTTGTTCTCTGCCTTTGGTTGTGGAAGAAGAAGAAGAAGAAAAGAGGTTCTGTAGGTGAAAAACCGCACTAAATGGGTGAAATAATGGATACTGATTCACTAAAATAAACAGCCAGAGTGGTCTCTCTTGCTGACGAAGCCGGACGCCAATTCAACATGCTGAATTGGCTGAAAAGTCACCAACAGGGTCCGACTAGTGCCAACAGTGCAGGATTTGGGCTTAACATATTGCCCCACAATTTATGCTAACAACTTTCATTTTTCATTGCCAGTGCATGGGTCTCAACTGGAATTATTAATCTGTGCATCAGAATTTTGTAAAATGACAACATAATACGATCATATCATCACAACATGATTCTCCAAAAGACAATAAACAACAATGCTGAATTTGACATCCCTGCTTCATTTCCAGCTTGCACAGTTTACTCTTGAAGCCTATCTAAAAAAATAAAAAAGTACCAGAAAGCATCAACACTTTTTTAAATCACCAAAGCTGTTTTAGTTTGGATTAGGCTGCCATCACTCACTGTTGAGTTTATTCAAGTGTAAAGCACCAGAGTGAAATCTCCCTTTCACAAAAGTCTTGGCCATAGACTGCATTATTTAAGATTACTTGTCATTCAGAGCTGTGACATGTTCTCATTTTCTCACACTGTAGGCAACGCCAGTCACCTTTTTTCACTCAGCCAGCTGTGTGTGAGCATAAGTGCACACATTGGGTGAAGAATCGGAAGGGGACACGTGGACGAACTGTGATGTTCTCGTCACTAAGTGAGCAGGCTGACAAATGGGCTAATCATCCAAAAACATGTTGTAGACTATTATTTGATGTCTTTATATCTCTGTGTTAAACTGTCCTGTATACTCATCTGGGAGAAAAAGAGATTTATCTGTCCACTTTAATCACAGAGAAGCAGCAGTCCTGGGAGATCAAACTGTTTTCCACAAAAAGCCCCATTATTTGCTGATGATTGCTGCTCATCCATGTCATATCTGCTCCACTGCTAACATTTCTGCCAGCCTTGGCAGCAGAGCACAGGGCATTGTTGGGAGACAGGGAGAATGTCCATGCTTTCCTCTCCTCTTAATCCTCTGGCACTCTGCTCTTGATTTCTGATATGCATCTCTCTCTGTTAACTGGTGGTGGTTTACAGGGAGCATCTGTTATCAGAGCGAGTCACTACCTAACTCCCTGTCATCCTATCTATTTAAAACATCATGGACACATGGCTGTGTGCCTGATTAGATTCCTTCAAAATTTACACCCGGTGGCAGTTAGAAGGGTCTTGATTAAGTGTTTAAAACTGGGTGGAATGATGATGTGAATGATTTACAGTCTACTGAGACCACATCATATCAGAGCCAAGCTGACATTTACTTCAGTATTCTACTGCAAGATTTCTTAATAGATTCCTACTGGGTTGCATATTCACCTTGACCCCTCAGTGTCAGCAGCTGAATACTGCGCATTTAAAAGGAAGCTCCAAAGATGTTTCAATTAACCTTTCACCTGAACATCGGACATCTACAAGCAGTAAGTTAATCTATTTCACACAAAGGCCTGAACACCAGGAGTAGAGGGAGAAAATATTTAAATGAAGCAAACAGCTGGTTTATCTGACTGACACTCGTAGGAGTGTCACTTTGCTTCAAATACATGCACAGTATGTGTGTGTTTGTGTGTGGGCGGCGTGAGGAGTTATGAGGTGGAGACAAATACTCAGCTGAGGGAAAGTTGTATCAAGTGTTCGAGTTAATGAGTCAAACATACTAAAAGCCTTCCATTAAAAAGCAGGCATTGAGAAAGCTTTCACAGCTCCTGCTCTTGGAGGCCAGCCCTTGAAATCTTTGTTTATACAGTCAAATCAACAAATTAAATGGAATAGTAAGGACACATGAAGCTCAGGCAGGCCTGTACAGTAAAAGGTGTAGTTATGCACAGTAGGCATAAAATGCATAATAAATGTGGCCATTTACTACAATATGAACTTGCCCGTAGTATATCTGAATCCAGCAATGTGAAACACGTATAGCCCCAAATCAGAAAAAGTTTGGACATTATGTAATATTAAACTGAAAATAATGATTTGTAAATCATCTGTGTCCTGTACTACAGTGAAAACAATACAGCAGCACATTATTTGATGTGATGCCTCATCAATTTTGATTCTGATGCCTGAAACATGTTGCAAAAAAGTTGGAACAGTGAAGTGTTTACCACAGTGTGATGTTGCTTTTTCACAACACTTAATATGTTTAGGGACTGAGCACACAAAGTGATTAAATGTGTGAGGTGTCATTTTGTCCCATTCATCCTGCAAACAAGTCTTAAGGTGTGCAACAGTCCTGGGTCTTCGTTGATGCATTTGTCTTTCAAAATGCACCATGCATTCTCTATTGGGGACAGCATATTGTTGCTCCAAAATCTCTATGCACTTGGTTCCATCACAGAAGTGTAAGTTACCTTTGCCAAGGGCACTGACATGACCCCAGACCATGACAGACCCTGGCTTTTGGACCTTTTGCTGGCAACAGTCTGAATGGTCCTTTGTGTCTTTGGTCCGGGGCACACGGCGTCCATTTTTTCCAAAAAAAAAGACCTGAAATACTGACTTGTCTGACCACAGTGCACATTTCCACTGTGTGATGGTCCATCCCAGATGCCTCTGAGCCCAAAGCAGTTGACTGCACTTCTGAACACTGTTGACATAGGGCTTCATTTTGGCACAATACAGATTTAAGTTTCATTTATGGATGTAACTACATATTGTAGTGCCTGACACAGGGGTACCAAAGTAATCCTGAGTCCATTTGGTTATATAACTTATAGAAGAGTGAGATTCTTGATGCAGTTTTGTCAGAGGGATCAGAGAGCACAACCATCCAGCTCAGGCTTGTGCCCTTTATGCACTGAAATCCCTCCAGATTCCTTGAATCTTTTAATTATGTTCTGTACCGTAAAGGGTGACATGTCCAAATCCTTCCTATCTTTCTTCAAGGAACATTGTTTTTACACATTTCAATAATTTTCTCATGGATATGTTGGCAAACTGGAGATCCTGGATGTCACTTTTGTATGAAATAATGAGTGCAGTCATCTGTTTCAAATGGAATCATTTCATTGTTTCACTTCATTACTAGCTCTGAAATGCAGCCGTCCCAACTTTTATTGGAATATGTTGCAGGTATCAGAATTGAAGTGACAGTTTATTTTGAACAAAGAATAAAGTTGATGAGGTATCACATCAAATGTGCTGCTGTATTGTTTTCAGTGTAATACAGGACACAGATGATTTACAAACTATTATTTTGAAATTTTATTTTTACATACTGTCCCAAATTTTCCTGCTTTGGAGTTAGTAATCACCAAAAAGCAAATAATGACCATGATTGCTATACAGCATTCATCATGACCATCCTTCTATGTAAATTACTTTAACTTAATAATGCAGGTGTAAATTAATACTACACATAAAGCCCCTTGTGCGTACGTATGCAGGAAGTGGGTTTATGGAGAGAGAGTAGGGGGAGAGAGAATGACATCAGACTTTACGTGTGAGATTACACCTAGTGACGCAGTCATGATTAATACAACTAACTGCATTTGTGAACTACTGGCCTCACTACAACATAAACCAGTGGAATAACAGGTGGAGGAATACGCAGCCCATAAAACTAAATTAAAAAATAAATAGTTTTCTTACAGCCTGCTACGATTTTGCTTTAAGTGTGTGGAGGAAGTGCTCTGCAAAGTTCACTGCTTGAATCTGGCTGGCTTATTTCTCATCACAACTGAGATTACAGTATGAAAAATAAGGCAGGTCTTTAGAGGTGAGTATATTGAGTTTACAGAACAAAGCTGAAAACTATGGTTACTTACCTTAAATGTCATCGGTTGGATGGACATTGTGCCTGAAGAGCGCTGGAGCTGCGAGTCGCTCTCCATCTCATTATTCTCAGTCGTCATTGGTATTGTGGTGGTAAGAGTCGTTAAAGACAGAAACAATAAAAACTCAACTCCTCACACTGTATCCTGTCGGTAAGAAATCACCTGCTTTAGCCATACAAAAGCTTGACAAAGTGTGGCAGATCCACATCAGAGGAATTTGTGCGCGCTGGGAGGTGGACGCCTTATGGCAATTTGTTCTCCACACACCAGCTGCAAGAAGGTTGATTAAGCGATTTATAAACACATACACCAGCTGTTTATATTTGACTAATGCTATGCGAGGACAAGTACTCAGGAGAAGAATAAACCTCCCGTATGAATAACCTATTGTATCCTGCCTTGATGCGCATCGGAAAGCTCCAACGTGGCACAGTTTCGTCCTCCGGTTGCAAAAAAAGGTTTCAATCTGCAAAACTGAGATGTTGGAAATATCAGCCTAATAACCACAGATCCAAACAGACATCAGCTTGCGCTCTGGAAGGTACTGTTTAGGTGTAAATCCAAAGCGAACTGTGCCCTTCACCACTGCTCAGACTTAAATTTAAGCGCAATCTGAGGCACGCCTTTCCGTGCGTCTGAGACGCATGATTGGACCAATTTTTACAACTCTGCCAGGATTCATTTGGATTAAATCAGGATTCACGGTCGTGGGCGGGGGGTTTGTGGTGCAGTGTGTTTATGATGAAAGCAGCATATTCACTCTTCGTTTCCTCTCTGGGTTCCTGCATTTTGCATGTAAAAGATGCACTTCTACTGTGTGTCCTGTGCAGCCAAAATCCTTAGTACCCTCAGTGACCACAACAGGTCATTTAATGTTTATTATAAACTCACAGATACAAATATTCATGAAAACTTCTATCATTAGCATTGGCTTTAGATCAGCACAGACAGCACAACACACGAAGTACCATAACAGCATAAAGAGAACACCATCAAATAAATATCAAGTTTCTCATTATTATGGACCACTTTTAGAGAAATGGGAATAAAGTGGGCACAGGATGTTATACAGAACTTTTTACTGCCCATTTGATGAAGTTGTGAGTCAAAATGATTTCTCCTTCAGAAGAAAAAAATGAGCCATATGAAATGAGCTGGACTACATTTAGCTTTATAGAAAACAGTTCTTAGACAAACTTTTACTCTGTTGTCATGTTTTATAATTTACTACCTGCCATCTGAGAGCACCAAATGCAGACACCATAACTTCTCAGCAGAGTTAGAGCATCATCAGGTTTGGTGAAGGCAGCCTTAATAAGGCCAGAGGTTGTTACTGTACCTTCAAAAGCAATCTCATTTCATACCTGTTTCTAACCATTATTTTCATATGTGTGTGCAGAATTGTTGCCTGATTTAAAAGCACATATATTACACTTGATGATGAAGGGGACAGACCAGGGAAAGCTGAAGAAATAAGGGGGATTTTCAAGTGAGTTCTATGGTAATATGGTTCCATTCACAGTGTAACAAGGAGGAAAGATTTCTAAAATCAGTGGAAGTTTTTTTATTTGGCATAAGCCTAACATCAAAGTTTGCTCCAAGCTGTTGGAAAGTCTTCAGGCGTAGGCATGTAAGAGAAAAGAGAATGAAGAAAAACAACTTGAGAGAGCCTCTGTTATCACACTCATTACTGCTTCACTCAGAGCTAGGGCACAGCAGAGAGTAGACTGTGAAAGAAACAAAACAAAAGCCAAGTCAGAAGTTTTCAACAGTGGCTTTGCTCTCTCACAACACAAAGCCTTGGTGTAGAAATGTGCAGTGTTGTCTGTTTTCAAGCCCAGACAACACTGAAAAGTAGAGAATGATGCTGAAGGAGGGAAACGCACAGTCTAACAGTGAAATTTCCCCTACTGAGCCTCCCACCTTTCATCGTCCATGTGATACCCTAAGTGCCAGAACAAGGCTGCTAAAAATGAACACTGAAACTGGAGTGAAAACACATTGATCTCTGTGATTTGGAGACACGGGAAACCATGGGAGCACAAGAGGTACAAAATGAGTCCCATGCGGCGGAAGACAGATCCCAGCCGTGACAGCGGTCGTCATGGTGCAGTCACAGAACCGTAGCTGCTGCTCTTTCCACTGGGATAAATTGACACTGATTGTTCAGCTGTGCTTCCACCTCTATTACGTGCATGTACACACACATGCACAAATATTGAAACTGGAGCCTTTGTGCAATGTGCCATGAGCTCCGGTGTCCATCATTCTACAGTCACATTTTCAACCAAGAAAGCAGAAATGTAAACATACGTCATCGATTCACACTAAACTTGTAAGAGACTCAGATATCCTGCACATAGAGCATCTGTACTTTAATCCAACTTTATACAAGCTCCTTCCACAGATGCAGTAGGACGTCTGCTAGTGTTTTTAGTTGCTGCTTTTGTAACCAGGTCTCAAAACAAAAAAAGAAAAAAGAAAAAACACACATCAGTGACACAGCCCTGGCTACATTAAAAAGATAAATTCAATCTAATTATTTTAAAACTATTAAGACAAAACGTCATAAAAGGAAAACATAACACATTCCAGTTTATTCTGACACCAACTAAAACAAACTGTTTAGACTTGAATAGCTGATCTTCTCCTGAAACCTGCTGAAAGCTGAATCACAGCAGCAGAGGAATCATTGGACGGCACGTTGCTGCCATCTACCGCTCCAATAATTATACCCATAAACGGACAAGTTCACCACCAGACAGAAAACTAGACAAAATTTAATAATATAGGTATATATTTATTCATACATACAATTTCATTTATATCAGTTTAAAAAAAAAAGAAATGGGAAAAGATTTACAGTAATTATATGCAGTACAGT